TTTTGCCATTCAAAAAGGTGGAAGGCTGGGCTTTGATTTTGTTTTTAATATCAGCAAATACTGCCATTTATGCACAAATGGAAAAGGTTGTGATCGGGATGGCTTACATTGAAGTTTCGATGCTAATATGCTTGCTTAAACATCCTCCTTTGTTTAATCAGGTATCCATTCTGGGCTTTTATTACCAAACCCAATGCTGCAATTTTCTTACAAGCAATGTAAACAGTATCTTTGGCTTTCTAGGATACTATTCAATCTAGAAAATTATATGTAAAGTATTGATGAGATTTGAGCAGTTAATCACCTTTTGAGTCCTTTGGGAAAGGCTGAGAAGGTTTTGTTTATTTACTTTGACAGGGGATAAATACCGATGAAGAAAGGTGAATAATCTTTTGGTGAAGGTGTTATTTCTACTAGAAAGAATTCTTGCTCAACTTACGGGCAGGTGTCATGAGTTCATATAAATCACATGCATTTTACGGGCCATCCGTTAGGGCAATGGTCTAGCAGTTCAGAGAAAATCCAGCGAACTTTGACGTGGTTCTCCTTCATAGCAATTAACATTTGCATCAACTGCCAACCCCGGCTGGAGTATCTGCTCTCCTTCGGCCTCCAAAGGTAGGTAAGTCGCGATTTTGTATAGTCGCGTGAAAATTTCTGCATGCAAAACTAGGCTTCTAAGGTTTGGGCGTAGCCATGGTTCACTACTTTCACCGACAGTACTCAAAATTCAAATGCTAACTCTTGAGTTGGTAAGTGATAGAAATACAACTAGCTCCTCGAGTGAGTATTTTGTTCGCCTACATCCTTACCAATAGCATTTGCCTTTCCACATGGCAACCTCACAGCCTATGCGGCACGCCCCCGCAGAAGTGCATTCAACTTCAGGCCTTTGACTTTTGAGACCGCAAGTAGTAGAGTGGTGAAACCAGTGTCATGCGGTAAGCTTGAGTTAAAGTAGTTATAGCAGGCATGCAAACAAATAAACGCCTCCGTTCTTGTAATTAGTTGCGATGCGTTCTTGTTCGATCGAGTAAGTGTTGCATCCTTGAGACCTTGGACGGGTTTCACATGATCACTGGTTCAGAAAGCATTCAATTCACCGAAATTTGTAGGTTCCATCTGTGATAGACGAATGTTATCTTAGTACGCACCGACACCGCCTTATAGGTTGTGCCTCGTCTTCACCTTTCCTCATTGCTGCACAAAAAGGATCTTCAATCGACGTGACTGACAAAGTGCAATAGGCTATCAATTTTTGTGCCAAAAGTTGGATTCAGGTGACACTACGCCTTCACCCTTCAGACATCTGCTTTGGAGAGAGTGTCACAGAATGCATGCCACGTTAAAGCTAAGGATAAGGATAAGGCCTAATGGAGTTGAATGATGAAACGCCTTTGCTTCCCTTTGTTAAACGCTGTCATTTCGCCTCACTAAACTAGCATAAAACCGTATTGCTATCAACATTTTACTCACAGGTACTATGAAAATCTCCAATGCTTATTGGCTGTGCACTCATATGTTCTTGCATTGTTTCAAAACTGACCTCTGAAGCAGCCTTTTTCTAATAAGACCTCTCAATCAAGATGTGAAATAACATCATAGAAGTGAATTGGAACATCTGCTCCATTGTCGGTGGTAGTAAAAGCATCGGATGTACATTGCGATGCAGCGAATCGACTTCATGGGACTCGCTGTGAATGACTGATTGTGCTCATGCTGCAAAAGTACCTTAGAAATCTTGTAGAACCAACCAAATCTTAAAAACCGTTTGTAAAGTTAACGTGGAAAGCTTGTAAAGGGGAAGAACGCTTTGGTTATAGTACCTTTCGAAAACTGTGCGGTAACAGAAGGGCTTTCGACTTTCACACAACCAAGTGCATTCTACATTTGCGAAAATCCTTAAAAGAGCGAATGACCCTATTAATGTCGGAGCCAAAAAGTTGAAGCATTTACTTCAACTCTGTTGTGTTATGTTTTGGGAGGAGATTTTAATTTTAACACTTTGTCGAAACTATTGCCACTAAACACCTCAATATTTGCTTGCTTAAGTTCGAATGAGGACCAGAAAATTTGACACTGGTCAAAACCTTTTTTCCCTTTGGGTTTAGATGGTTGATTTATTTTAAAGAATTGTTACTCATGTCAAAACTCAAAAAATTTGCTTAATGCTCAAAGACGGATCCTCACACCCTATTTTATGGACTTTTCCCAGTTAAACCGATTTTATCATGAATTTAACAATGTTGGAGCATGATCCGAAGATAACAGTTTTGGCATAAATCACAATTAAAATAAATTCATCAGTGGCGCTTAACGAGGCGTTGCGTGGCACGTATGATGTGGTGAGGATGAAGGCCGCCATTATGGACGTAAAAGTGAGCAAATGATTGCACTACATTAGGGCATTCTCCCTTGTACATATCCTCCATTGATATGATATGTTAACGAATTCTATTATTCTTTTAATCATCTCAAAACCCTGGACCACGGTGTCGATAGCCTTCAGCTAGGTAGCCGCGAAACTCATTCGGTATTCCCCAAAAGTGAGCCTTCTACAATAATCAGCCCCTTTAAATAGTCACTAAAACTCCGTACTCTCGTTTATTAAGGGCAAACTTAACAGTTCTACTAAGGTGACCGTTGGAATGATCACGTTTTGTAACACGTGCTCACGATGCGAAGTCTGCTCTAGGATAGAAACCGACTTGCTCACTGACCTGTTGCCTAGTTTTCCTGCATCCCCGGCTTTGTACGCGCACGGAGAGAGCCAACAGCATCATTGCGGGAACATTCTACTGCACAAGTAAGCAAGTTGACAAATAAAATTGCTTTATTCATTAAAACAACATCCCAGCTGCACAACCCAGACGACTAGACTCTTGAAAAGCTTTCATATTCAACCTTTTTTTAATTTTTCATGACCACTTGTGAGGACTCGCAACTCGGTCTTCAGCATCCTTTTTAAACTGTGTGTTAATCCTTGTAAAATGAGAACCAGAAAACCATTAGTGAGTGGTACTCGAAGCAAGTTTGTCTTTGAGCGACTGCTCTTTTTACCCACATTGGATTTTATTCCAAAGCTCTAATTTGCTCTCTGGCAAACTCTTGAATGTATTGAGCAAATCATTTTTCCACCACAAAAACCAGGTTATAACAAATACTACCTCTCAATACTTATCTCTGTTTCGTCCTTTTGTTCTGCCCGTAATTGAATGTGGGAAGTGAGGTCTGAAACAAATGGAAGAATTTATATTGCTGTCTTGGATTAAGAATGATGTGCTCAATGGTGATCAAAGGACGTGTAAAATAGTTGAGAAAGGGACCGTATGAAAGGTTGGAGCAGCTGTAGTTCTCAGTTCAGCAAACCTGAAATTGTGGCAGCAGACGACCACCTTAGTCATCACAGTGAGTCCACTGAACGTAGTTGGCATCAAAGTTGGTCTTAGCTTGACTACTCAGGATGAGTCACAACGAGATGTGAATTTGGTCACTCCACCTAATTTACGCCTTCGAACAACTCCACAGGACTTCACAGTCGATACAACCATCCTCCTTTACCTAAAGTGAGAACTGGCGAAATTGCCCCGATTGACATTGGCATTACCAGATAAATGAGCAACACAAAAAACATTGTACAACTGATCATGAAACAGTCTTTCAACGGCCTGCATGCTAAATCACCTCGGTCAGTAACCCTGCTAATGCGAATGCACTCTTAAGTTAACCTCAACGACAGCATTCATCGTAGACATTAATAGTTCCTCCTGAAGGCACCATTTTCTCATGATGGACAATGACTATTGGGGTTGATTCAGTTGCAATTAACAATTGTACCCATTCTGCAGCCTCACGAGGCAGTGGAAAGGCACTGTGAAGACTTGGCTCACTTCGCATTAAAACCAATCAACATAATTAAACAGGAAACCCTTTAATTCAAAGACCTCCCCTCACTTTCGCGTTTGAATAAACATTCACGCGGGACTACCTCAAAAGGCTACTTGTTAAGAACTTATGGGATTGGCTTTAATGAAGTTGGACTTGAGTTGGCATCAAGCCATTATTATATCACAAGACACGTTTCACTGAAGTGCGGACACGAACCAGTGTATTCCCTTAGATTGCTTTGTTTAAAATTAGACTAGAGGGAAACAGGAGAGGTGAAGACGGTAGTAAATTTGACGTCAGAATGCGAAGAATGACTCAGGCTCTCAACGCGACCACTGTGCCGACCTCAATGTCACTACAGTGACTCGCGGCAAACAACCGTTGACAACTTTGTTTATCCGCAAAATTTTACGTTGAATTCCCCACTCCAAGGCAGAAAATATAATAGGGTTTTTGGAGACGTAAGGGTTGTTGCCATTAAAAACGATTATTTTACTTTGTTGAGACAGCCAAATATAGTAATTTGAGGTGTACACGACGCGAAACCTCAACCTCAAAGATATATCTGCTTTGGCTTTTGCAAATGCTTATTTGTTCATAGAGCTTAACAACACCGATTTAAAAGGTGTAGACGTGTTAAGACTTATCGACAGATCCTCCAGACGCCGCTTATTTCCACGCGCTTTGTGAAGTGAAAACTAGGCTTCTTAACCTCTTTGTAATCCCACAAAAGTGATGGAACACAAATATTTAAGATTAACGATTCAATGGAAATCTTCGGCTGAAAACCCTACAGAAGCAGCCTTTTCTGTGTATGAATCTGTACAAGTATAAAAGTGCTTGCTGTTTGCGTGTTTTAGAGAAATTTGGGGCTGATCACGCGATGAGGGAAAAAAATAAACAGGACAGTGTAAATGTAACAATAATAAATGCCTGTGCAGCCACAGCAATCAAACTAGTGGGCAGTATTTTCAACTTGCATAACCAATACCTCCTGATTCAATTGCTTCTTAAACGTTGGTGTTTGATACGATACTGAATGGATGTTGATGCAAGCAAACGGCTAAATAAAAACAGGTTGGTAAACGTTACGTTGGGTAGGTGTGGCCTGCATGGCAGAACAACGTTGTTTGCCTAAGGATGTCGTTCGTTCATTGGCTCAGGCGAAGGCTGACCTTGGATTGGCTCTCCACGCTTCATTTTCTATTGATTGGCTCCTTGGGGTATGCAGCGCGTGGCCAGTGCCAATGCCGTGGGGTTGGCAGGCCGATAAATTGAATCAGCGACCGCTTGCCCTCATACACGTCTTTTCTTCCGTGCCTCGCATACCCTAGTAGTGATGGTACGTGCAACCTTGATTTATCGGCCGCGTGGCCTATTTGCACTACACTTTGGTTATCTGTTTATCTTGTACCTATTTTGACAGGCAGATTGCCCAATAGGTCATTTCTACAATCACTCCATTCCTCTATTAACAATCATCAAGACGTGACTGTATAGTGTGATCTTCGTTTTTACGCTGACCACCAATAATTCAGCTTTTATTTCTTTACTGCTTTGCTTAGTTTGCTTAACCATGTGTTAGTTGTCACGACAACGCGCATCTCCGTAGGTGTCATCGCAGATTTCTCGCGGTACATTCGATACAAGAAATGGAGGTTGATTTCTACTTGATATAAAAATAAGGACTTAGTTGAGAGGACGCTAGGCAGAAAAAATAGATATTAACGTCCCCAGTCTAACTTTTCATCTACCAGTGCCTTTACGGGAGCTGTTGGTCCCCAATTATCTTAATGACGGTTTCAAATTTTGTCAGCTTAATTTGTAGAGGTTTGCGCTCAAAATGGTTATGTTGTAATCCCAATACCGTTTTATCCTCAAAAATTTATTTGGATGACTCTGGATTACTTCAGTTTTACGTAATGTTATTGCTAACTTGGCAATGTCTACACAACTATTCTGCCAATTGGCTCAATAGAAATTAAAGCGAGTGAGATGGCCTTGGTTTTATTTTGTGGGTTGAGTTGCTCCAGATCGTTGTGGAGTTGCAACTGGAACCATTTGGAAGAATTTGTGAACATCAATTATTACCCACTGGTTGATCACCAATGCGATCTAGTGTCGCCACTGTTTCTCAAACTGATTGGTCAACTACGACAGTAAGAGCTACCAATAGTTAGAACGGAGATGCAATAGCCAGATGCATGGCAGTCTCCCGTGGATGAGAGCACAGTCGATTGCACTAAAGGTGTAGCACTACTGGTAAATATTGGCTTCGGTTTGCGGAATCTTTTGCCTTCAATTCAGTATTTACAATTTTAGAAGGGCATATCTGGACCGCTAGTTTTATCCATATTCACAACATGTTTTGGCTCATCATTCCTCTTGGGCTACAATCTTGGCGTTGCAAATCTCCCTGGAGGTGTAAGTTACTCTCTACTTATTCAAGAGATTCCTGTGATTTACTTGCCAAGTTCTATCTCCTGTCTATAAAGTTGTAGAAAGTAGAATTCGTTTGGAATTGAACCAACTAATCCTCGTTCAGAGTTTAATCCATTTATAATGCTACATATCACTCTCTCATAACACCATTTACCTGAAATTTTATTTAAGAATCGAGGAACGGGTGTCAAATCAGTTTGGTCGGTTCTGTCATATACATAACCGAGTTCAGTAAAAAAAGTCATTAAAACTGACTCGGCACGACAATCCAGTTCAAATTTAATTTTTCGTTTTCTTCTAGTAGTATCTAACTTTAAGATTTTTGGTTGCACGAAAACGTCAACATTCAACGCCTAAAAATGCCATTAATTTATATCTCTAATGCTCACTGTATCTAAGCCTTACCGCTACTGGCCGCAGCTGAACACTTGTTTTCTGTCTCATTTCAACAGAATATCAAGAACTTTTTGGTTAACTACTATAAACCGGCTAACACATCAATTTTGGATGCCAACTTCCTCTACGGACAGACAACTTCTGTACTGGTCATCTGCGCCGCCATTGCAGCCTTTACTTGCGGTTGGGTTGCTGACGGTCTGGGAAGGTGCGATAATTTGTCTCTCTCTTTCGCCCTCAAAAAGCACTCAATAGAATTAAAAAATGTGTCATACTAACTGTAAAGAATAGGAATACTAATGAATAAGGTTAAGAGTCTATTAAAATTGGTGTTCATGTCTACCCTGTTAGCTTTGTAATATCTCATCGCTCGTATGTTATGGAGCGATTCACATACTGCATTTAGTTTTGTTCTAAAATGCCCGTGTTTTGCCATAATTTCAATGTAAATAGATTTGCACACAGAAAATTCAGCAATTTTTCGGCACCTTTTCTGCAGGAAACGTAGTCTGATGGTGAACAATGTGATTGGCATTGTTGGGTCAATAATCTCTTCTGTGTGTCTGGTGGCGAACCAGCCTGCTCTACTGTACGTGGGACGGGCGATCAGTGGTTTGAACAGCGGTCTAAGTATTGGCATCGCAGCAATGTTTCTCACAGAGATCGCGCCGCGCCATCTGCGAGGAATGATTGGCGCCTGCAATCAATTGGCCATTACCATTGGCATTGTCACCTCTTACGTGCTTACTCTCACCCACCTTTTGAACACACCCACCCTCTGGCCAGTCGCTATGGGCGTTGGTGCCATTCCTGCTGCAATCGCTCTCATTATCTCCTCCTTCACCGTCGAGTCGCCTCGCTGGCTATATCTCAAGAAGAAGGACGAGGAGGCTGCTCGAGAGGCCTTCGTTCGCATCAATGGCTCTGAGAATGTAGACATGTTCATCGCTGAGATGCGCGAAGAGCTAGAAGTGGCTCAGAACCAACCAGAGTTCAAGTTTATTGAACTCTTCCGTCGCAGAGATCTGCGTATGCCTGTCATCATAGCGGTTCTCATTCAGGTCATTCAACAACTCTCGGGGATTAATGCTGTAAGTCATCATCTTTACTAATGCTTATTGACACATCTGACGGCCAATTTCGCGAAGTGCGCACAATGAAGTTCAACAAGAGGTTGTGTGCTCTAATGTGTTGACGTTGCGAGAATGTTTGGTGGATTTCACTTTGCCAAAATGCGAATTTTTGGGCCTTGGCAAAAGCAGCATGTCATTTTACAGCATACAAAATAAGGCGCTTATATCGTTGAATAGACCGTAGCATTGCAGTTCTTCCAGTAGATGAAGAAGTCTCCAATGCAAAATTGTGACAAAAACGTGCGATTATGCTTTTGATATTTTGGTCCATTGGGGTTATGCTGTGGATTTGAGCAGGCCTTAACTACGCACTTCTTTCCCAATTTCGAGTGAAGAAATGGTACATCATGGATAATGCATTGTGTCACCTGGTTTCATTGTGATGTGCAACGCAAAGGATACTGAGGATCACCCGCCCATGTTGTGTGAGTCACCAGCTCAAGTTTAAGCGTGTCCATGAATGCAAACCATAAAACTTTGTTCACTGTAAAGGCCAGATTCCATCAGTGAAACCGCAACGCTTTACACCAAATATTGTTCGATCTGAAGAAGGACAAATTATGGGTAAAAGTATCTTGTTGAATAAGTTGGACCATTTTCAATCTTTTTATTAATAACCAATCTAATCTGCCAAGTTGCCTGTTATTGTACTGTGCCATTGAGATGATTGAAGTGGCATTACTGTAATGGGATCGAGCCCTTCCATACTCCGGTGACTCTTGATTTAAATGTTAACGAGCTGTCATACATCGTGCACTATCCAAAGCTTTTTGGGGTATAAATTTGTGCCACTAGGTGGTTGCGAATTCCTCGGAGATGTTGAAAAGCGCCAAGGTATCGCCAGATATGCTGGAGTACTTTGTGGTAGGCCTAGGCCTGCTTAACGTCATCTGTACAATCGTGGCGCTACCGTTGTTGGAAAAGGCGGGTCGGCGCACTCTTTTGCTGTGGCCCACTCTTGTGCTGGCAATAACACTGCTACTTCTGGTGATTTTCGTGAATGTCGCTAATCATGAAGGCGTTGTCAATAAGACGCCCTTTATTCTCGTTTCTGCCGTCCTCGTCTTCGTTTATGTCGCCGCCTTTGCAATGGGTCTCGGGCCAATGCCTGCACTCATCGTTGCGGAGATCTTCCGTCAGGGTCCCCGCGCCGCTGCTTACTCCCTCAGTCAGAGCATCCAGTGGGCCTGTAATCTCATCGTTGTAGCTTCCTTCCCTTCGCTTAACGTAAGCCTCTTTCTCCTCTCATTCTGTTTAAAGTGGGGCAGTGCATTGCGCTCGTAATTCAGTATGAACTACCCACCTCTCAACATTGTGGGAAAGATAGCAAAGATTTTAGTGTTCACTGAAAAAAAAAAAAACAGACAATGTGTGTAGATTATTTAGATATTACCATCTCACGTCAAATAGAAGTCTTTAATGGCACAAAAGGCACTGATTATATGCCTAGTTTGTACGTCTTACAAGAGGGCTCCAAATTTAGCCTTCTAATTCATTTTTTAATGTATCCTTGGGTCTCATTTGAAAGGGTTGTCATAGACCTTGTTTTACTCACAAGTAGCTGTCAATTGCAATAAGTAATAATTTGAACCATCTTTGATAGAAACATGCAAACCGGTTATTTGACTTGGGATGGCTGACTTGTAGGGCGTTAAGTGAATTGCCAGCTTATAAACACCTTTTATTGGGTTCCCATGCCCATACAGGGAAGAGATATTCAGAATGTACTAATAAATAAATAAATAAATAAATAAATGAAACAAGCTTTGGTAGCTTACTTTTAGAGCAGATTGTAGATTATTAACAATATTTTAAGGGTCATTTAATTTATTTGCAAGTAGCCTCGGCATATTTCTTCCAACTACCTCAAATACTTTGGCGGACAGTTGGAAATCTTGCCGACCTGCTACATGGCTGTCTGTCAAACCGCCAACAGTACAACTGGGAGAATTTGGGGGCAGGGGGATCGGGAAGAGGGGATAGGCACCTTTGCAAGGTTATTTAACTCGGGCTAGCATCGCATGACATACGTGGTTGTGCTTTTGCAGGAGCTATTGAAAGGCTACGTTTATCTACCATATCTGATTGTGGTGGTGGTCTGCTGGGTGGTGTTCTTCCTCTTCATGCCGGAGACAAAGAATCGAACCTTTGATGAGGTAGCACGTGATCTAGCCTTCGGGAGCATCGTGGTGGGCAAGCGCACCGCGGCTCTACAGGCTCCCGTCTTCACCAAGGAAGATGAGGAGGCCGCCACTGCCCTCCGCCGCACCGACGATGATGAATCAAAGGTCGATGCCTAGACTCCCCTCCTCGTTCTTTCCCTTTCCTCATCCCTTCCTGATGCACTTCACTCTCTCCTGCCGTTGGTGTCTGCGTTTTTTCCTCATTCTCACATTTACCTGCCTTCCATCTCTTTTTACTCCTATTCTCCGTAGACAAAGTTACTACACAGTCAATTCTTTCCTTTTCATTCTTCCGATAGATGTGGAAGGTCAATCAAGATTTCACTATAGTTTTCGATGACGGCTCTATTTTTGTCTTCGTCATTCTCTTTTTCGTGGAGTTTAGTGCGGAATTGTTGTGCTAAAGTAGTTGCAACGACTTGCTAGCCTTCGTGAATCCTAGTAGGACTGATATTGGGGTGCAATCAGAGACAAATACATCTGTAACTTATCGCGCTTGGATTATAAACACGTGGTAGAATCGTAAAACTCTTTTAAAGTTTTGCTTCACATAATTTTTCGATAAAATTGGAGGCTGGACTTCTGCTCTCACAAACGCGAGTGTGAGTTGACTGAGGTGCATTAATGCAGTCCAGGACTAAATCCGAGGTTTCAACTTGCTATCATGGGTGTACGATTAGTTGACGGTTGTTCATTTTAAATAACAGTCAATTATGTAATTAGAAATCTTAAATGAAGGAGCTTTACCCAAAGGAAGAAGATTAGAGGCAGTCTAGGGGAATTTTCAAAGTGGGATGTGATTGCAAGCATTGACGTGATGTCAGATTTTAATCACACAGTTTACAAATGAATAGAGGGAACCACGATAACCTTTGCATTTGGCCATAGACGGAAATATCAAGGAGTCGCAATCTTCAAAAATCAGATATGTGTGATCAACGTATTGGGTAAAAGTGTTTGTAGATCAAGTAAAGTGAGCTACTGGGCTTACGTCATTTGTATAATGAAATCCCACTTTCATCAAAGTAAATGGTCCAGTAAAAGGAGCTTGTCTTCCTGTCTGTAGTACTGAGAGAAGCCCAGCAACGTCCTAAGTGAGCAACTAGTCTGGGATGGAAAGGCTGTGTGTGCCAAAATTGTCAGTATGCTACCTTCTTGCTTCAATAGCTATGCCGAAACATCCCATCCCGTTCTCCGTGCCCGTTAAAACAGGTGAATGAATTTGCCTCCGCGTTAGAGAGGAGATCCCAATTATAAAATCGTTTATGATGAACACTTTTCAAGGGTTTAATTAAGAAGGTATGAAAAGAATAACGAGGAAATGGTACTCCAGTTATTTCGGCTTTTAAAGTTGATAGCTACTTTCAAACGGCACTTACGTCCTGACGTTGACAGGTGATCAATCAAGGAGATGCATGGGTAGGTTAGTGACATGGCACCATTTTCCATATTTCTTTTGATTTGACACTAGAAGTCGAAGGGATGACGAAATTGTGCAGAAAATTGACCAAAGTTAGAGAGTAGTTTGGCAGCATCACTTGAATAAATAGTTCGAAACAGACCACTTATTTCCTTTTGTAGGAGGCGTCATTGCCTTTTTGCACTGATTCGATCCTACTCAAAACTATTTAACTAATCGGCCAAAGTAGTAAACAGTAAGGTCGGTTGGTGAATCCCACTTTTGTTCCCGTGTTTGTGCTCATTTTGTGAAAGGACATTTTTAAACATCCTCCACTTGATTTGTGTGATGCAATTTCAATCGCTATCGTCTTCTGAACACAGTGTTCTTCCGTTTGTTGGTAGGCGAACCTAACCAGCAATCCGAGTGCAAAGAAGGGCAGATTCTGTGCATGTTTTGCACTTTTCGGGACCAAAAATACATTAATGATCTCTCCCCCTCTCCCCACACCAAGTGCAATTGTGAAAGGCTGGATTCTGTTTTATCAAATTTTCCATATCACCGTTAATATTTTGCTCTCTCTAATTTCTTGGGTGGTACAGTTGTGTTGTTTTTGGTAGCAGTGCCACATCAGATACTGGAATTTTGGAACACGAATGTGTGCGTCAGCTAGACTAGGATTTGTGTGCAGTTTTAACATTCACTTATTCAGTTATTCATTAAAACTTACGACGTCACTATTTCGAAATCATTGGCAAACACAAACCAATTAAAAACATACTCGATCTCGCAGACGCAGGGAGGAAGATCTTGTCACTTCAAGAATCTTGAGCTTCTTCGCACTCTCCCACGAAAATTTGCCAGGACTCGCATTCATCAATGACATTTCCAAGAGATTTTTTACAGCTCTTCTTATTTTTCCAAACTTTACTTAATTAGAGCCCAAAAGGTTTGAGATCCAATCATTTTAGAGAGGGTCGTGCGACATACACCCACAAGTCCTGACAAACGTTTCGATGTAGTAATCGACACGGGTGACACCAGCATTTACCGAAGCCTTGGACGACTTTTAGTAAAAACCTTTGTACCATGGCACCTTAGAAAAGAGTCCAAAAAATAAGGCTTTATTTGGAAATAAATATTCTTCTTGTATTACAGAGTTTTTCCGTCCTCTGCCTGAGCAATGGTCTTCGATGCCATATTCGAGCTGGCATTGACATTGCTGTTACTAGCGTTCATATTACCACCATTTTCACCAGAGAGTATTTTGGCGATCTCATCGAAGGACTTGTTCTTCGTCTCCGGCATCACAAAGAAAAAGAAGCACCAACAAATCACAACAACCACAAGGAAGGGAAGGTAGACAAAACCGGCCATTGCTTTCTGAAAAAAACACCACGCGAATTTACCATTATTACTGTCGCAAAACAACTAAATGGCTTGAGCTATATTGTTTGTAGATTAAGCGTTTACCGTGCTAAGTGATCACAATCGTGGCAGCCTCCCAAAGGTGTGCTAAGGTTGCCACCATCGTGACCTCCAAAGGGCCACAAAAACCTACAATTTCCCACTTATTTCAAATGGTACTATCCATAGCTCTGTTAGAAAGCTGCGAGTGGAAAACATCCGTGTGCCTGCTGCTGGAAAACATTGAACCAGACGTAACCATGTAGGTTATGCATCTGAGTAAATGCATGCATTACTAGAAGACTCACATTGAGAGGTGGAAAGGTTGCAAGAACCATAAGGTTGCACAGCCACTGAACACCTTGGCTGACAGAGTAGGCGGCGGTTCGAGGCCCCTGACGAAAGATTTCCGCGACGATCATGGCCGGAATAGGACCCAAACCAACGGCAAAGCAGGCTAGGTATATATAAACCATGCTGACGGCTACAATAGCAAAGGGTGCCTGCTCATTCTCGGGCTTGCTGCGTCCGATAGTGACAATGATGGATTGGGTGAGCAGACAACAACCAAGCAGCAGTGTAGGCCATAGCAGAAGGGTGCGACGACCCGCTCTCTCCAGCAGTGGCAGTGCAACGATAGTAAAGACCACGTTAAGAATGCCCAATCCCACAACAAAATACTGCATCTGGTCCTCTTGTACCTTGGCCGTCACCAACATCGTTGATGAATTGGCAATCACCTAAGAGGACGGGACTCCTATTTAATATATTTGGAGCACTTTTCTTGCTTAGAATAACCAATATCTGCATCTTTACGGGATGAACTGCTTACATTTAGTTAGTTTAAGGTCAATAAATATCCTAATCTCAATATATTAGTAAATGTATAATTGTTTTTTCCTATCAAGAACCCTGACTTAATCTTTTGAGCAAACTGTTTGAAGATGAAACTGAAATGGTACTCTTTTGCATTACATAATAGTGATCAATGATTTTACGCTAACAGCACAAAAACATGGAGTGGTTTAAAAGTTCAGATGAACTTAAAAGGGAGGCTCTGTGTCAGGAAAACAGAAAATTTATTTAACTAAAAATTCCAACTTGTGCTTTTGCGCTTATAATAAGTCCGTGGACTGATGACAACTGTATATACGTGCTACTGAATAAACAAGAGTAGGATGCGTTGAACGTACAGCATTGATGCCACAGAGTTGCTGGAGCACCTGAATCAGGATGGCGATGGCAGTGGCCTTTCTGTACTCCCGTTTTGTGAAGAGATCGGAAACTTTGAACTCTGGTTGCGACTTTGTAGCAGCTATCTCATCATTCATATCCTTGACGAAGTCGTTTGCGTTCTCTTCACCCGATACCTTCATATACACCTCCTTTGCCCGATCCTCCTCCTTTTTAATCAAAAATAAGTAACGAGCGCTTTCAGGGCACAGAGGTAGGAGAACAAGGCCAGCTACACAAGGAACTGCGCCAATTAAAATAGCGTAACCCCAACGCTCTTCCGTATTAAGTAGAAAGTCGAGTGTGGCGACGTAAGAAAGACAAATCCCGACTGTAACGGCCAGTTGATGACACGCTCCAATCATACCACGAGTGCTTGTGGGTGCAATTTCGATTAGGTACATTGAGGCAACACCGATTGTTACTCCAGCGTTAAGGCCGGAAATGAAACGTCCGACCAGCAAAATCACAGCATTTTTAATATTTACGCAGATACCGGAGAGAATCGCACCCAGTAGACCCAGCACAGTGTTCATAAGGAGACTGTTCCTTCTGTGCCCGTACATAATAAGAATTGAGCTAGCAAATCTTACCTTCCAAGTTTGTCAGCAAGAATACCGCAGCTGAACGCTCCAATTGCAGCTCCGACTATGAATATGACGCTCACCAGGGCATACAATGTCTCCTTGTCCAGAACTGATATCTTTTCCACCATAAATTGTTCGATATACTTCAAGTTCAAGAATAGAACTGATGTAAATCCTTTGCAGTGAACTATTAGCAGTACTTGAAGTTGTGCACTTTATGCCTATTGAAATTCTTACTTCTTCGCTATCGCCTATCGTAATGGATACTTGGAGGAGAGAACAACTTATTGATAATTTTAAAGCATTTGTGCATCGGCTGAAATTTAACGGAACGCAACGGTGTGCGGTGTCCATCTCAGTTGCGTACAGACCTAACTGTGGTACATATTTGACTAGCATAGTCGAAATGTCGCAGATTTAAACGCAAAGGAATGACAACTCACTTTCGCCGGCAAATTGACGATACCGAGGTTGTACCCCATCATGAAAGACGAGCTGACACATGTGACGAATGTTGTAAATACCAGGGTACACGTCACCGTCTAAAAGTAAAGACGCTTGCGTCAAGATATGGAAATGTAGATTAAAGGACGCAGTAGCTGAAGCATACCATACTGTCCACCGCGCCCCCGGCAGTCGCGTCAAATGCCAAACTGGTAGAAATTCAAATGTAGTGATCGATAACTTTGCCACCTAATCAATAGGGCATGCGGTGGTAGTGAGCAAGCAGCAGCACCCACTTTCAAGGATGTCACAGTCGACTGCGCAATTCTCAGCCCCGAGTCGCCCTTAAAGTCCCTTTAGGCACCTAATTTTTTTTACTTCCTTTTGGGGAGTCTGTTCATCTTTTTGCAGCAACGCCCTCTTGACAGAATATTGGCCAATGACTTACGGCGCAGCCTTAATTGAAAGTTCTTTAATGCCATTTGAGAGCATGTGTAAGCGCTTTTATTTGGCCTGCTTTGCTGTAACTCGAAACAAAAGACCAGAATCTTGAAGTCGTAATTACGTCCACATTCAATTGGTTATGACTTATGCGATTTTACCTTCTGGCTACACAATCACACTGCATTCATCACCACTAGTTTCATTCTGGACTCAAAATACTTCGTAAAGAAGTACGTTTCTTACCAGTTGTGTGATTTCCACTTAAGCTGCACATTAGTTAGCATTGATTTGGACGCTGGTCTCCTTCAATTTATTACGCCAGTGTCCTGTCTCCAATGTCACCTGACTGTACAGACAGCATCAAGCTGATGTTCGTGGTAGAGCCTAGTCTTGCTTTGCCTTAGACTTTATAAGTTAAAGACAAATAATATGCACCCCTACAACTAATTATTTTGATTTGTTCGGTCAATTACTAGGGTGTGGATTATCAATCCTATGAAGAATTTGCAATAATATCGTTTTAGTCCTACTTCCTCTTGTTGTGATGCTTTTACGGAACAATGCAAAAGGGGCACAGGAATTGTACGTTTCTTCCTCACAACCTGCCTCCAATCCATCACAATTTCACTTCTAGCGTTCGTGGAGTTGGCAGTGCTTTTTGCGACTAATAATTAGTAGTTGATCCATCTAATATTTGCAAAAAGAGGGGTTTAATTGAACGTTTGAGTGTATTTTAAGCACTCAGCCTTATTGCCTTGTCTATCTCGTGAACTACTGACTGTGCGCACAAGATTTCCTTACGCAATATCACCGATGCATTAATATCTCAGAATCACACAAGTCGTATTATGCGAGGCCTTGAGAATCCATGGTTAGGCATGGTGGCACATTTTATTGAAAAGGTATTATAGTGAGGATAAGTCCCTCCGAACAAATCAAGCAGAGGGTAATGGCATCTTCCCTGCCTCGCAAAAATCTCCTCTTTGTCAAAGTACTGGCAAAATTAACGTTTTCCCAGCTTGCAGTTACGTTTTTAGAAGGGGTGATCATGTAAGGTCATTTACCTCAATGTTGTATAAAGAATGAAATTCTGGGCTTATTAGAGGATGCATGAGGTGGTTTTAGCGATGAGGCGACAGGTTGATATGCTTCTTTTACTTTGATCAATTTCCAAGAAGACGTCAAAGCACAGTGATAAGCCGTGGATCTTCTGCTACGACTACGTCTGAATGAAAGATCTTGTGTAGAAGCAAGTGCGAGTGAGTAAGGGAAGTAACACACAGTGTAAAGATTTTGCGACGCTAGTTCAAATGAAATCCCATTCTACTAACTGCTGAATTGAATGCTGCTGTGCCAGTAAACGACCCCAAAACAGAGGACCAAATAGTCAAGGGGTTGCCACTTGACTTGTTGTGAAAAAGTGTAAAGAACGAAAATTCTCCGCCCAGCTCTATACTCGCTTCATTTCATGAAGATTACATATGACTAATAACCACGCACATAATTTTCTGTTCAGAACAATAATTTTTCCGGACATACCTTATTGGTTCCTCAGTAAGGTCTCACGAGAAACATTGTTAGTGAATGTTTCATCATGGAATTGGCCTTCTTTGATACGATAGCAACATGACGAGAACTGTGAACATTAAGATCTTGCTTCCTGAATCAAGTGAATCAGAGTCCAAACGCCCTCCATCGACTTTGTGACAAAAATATGCTAATTTCACAAGTTGGTAGAAAATGAACCTTGAGTCAAACAACTTTAATAATAAGGTCACACCTGGAACAGTTGAAAAAACGAGTAGCTTCCTATCCCAAACCTACCTCATAACTTGTCATTCAGCACGAATACAATTGGAGATGCTGAAGAAAGGCAAAAATAGAAACCTTCGTTATTTGATAGCGCCGTCGGTAGGAGCGCAATTTGAAGAATGATTAGCTCGGTAGATGTACACAACGCTGCCAGAGTCCATAGAGCGCGCCAGAACCGATACCTCCACCTTCAACGTGCCCTATTGCGACCATAGTAGTGCTGTGCACAAAGAACCTCCTAACTTCTCTTCAAAAAGGCCACTGTACGTCCAGACTGGAGGATAAGATCCACTTACCACTACATCGTAAAGTGAACAGAAAGAGACCATCCAACCAATTCTCCCAAAATCCCACGCGAATTCGAGGAATTTGCTATTAGTAAATATAACTTCGCCTCATAGTTTGTAAATGCAACTTATTTTAGCCCACACGCTTTATCAAAAGGTACACGTGTGAGAAAAGAGGGAAAACACAACCATCTGAAGTGATCAATACATACTAAACCGGACTCCATTCAGAGTATTTCAAACGCCGTTACGTTAAAGGATGGGTATGAAATGAAAAAGCGGCAGAATGAAAATGCGTTTCGAAGGGAAGGAAAGGGAAAACGGAACACGCAGATGACAAGTAGCGAATTATCAGGATGCGTTAGTAACCGAGACGCCCTCAACATCCGCCTGATTCCGGTTCCCACCCTTACCACGTCGACCACCCCCATCATGATGTCTGGGCGTTTGACGAGGAATGACCTCAGACTGTTGGACTGGCTCTAAAAAAAACGTTATTTCGATGTTTCAAATAGTCGTACATGAAAAGATATAAAAGGCTAAGTGATGGCGTGGCAAAACACAACTGATGAATCAGATTGGAGGAATTAGTGCTGATAAGTACCAGCTTTACCTGTTTTGGGTGGAGGTGGAGGCAACGATTTCTGTCGAGGTGGTGAGGAGGGCTTACCACTATTCCCACCACCTCGAGATGACTGAAGATGATTCCTACGACGACGGTTAGTTGATGGACGAGAGTTACGAAATGAAGTTGAATCGGAGTGTTCAGTACAGGTGTCCGTGCCCCTCCCACTCCTAAATCGACCGCCAGCATCACCGTTGAAAGTAACCGGAGCAGTCAAACCATTATCAGTACCATGGCCACTATCCGTATGATGTGAACGAAAAGTTAGTTCACCTTTGGCGCTTTCTGACTTACTAAAAGGCGAAGGTAAAGAACAAAATAAACGATCATGCACTATAAAGGCAGTTCAACCTGATGTAAGTTTGCTATTGCCTAGTTCAACCTCGTTCATATGATTTCAAAGCGCAGACTTTAGACAGCAGATGATAAGAAGGCAGCTTACCTCGAAGGATCGCGCCTCTTGAAGCGGCTTCCGTCTCCATTATTAAAACGATTGTATTCATGTGGAGTAATTTTAGCCTGAAGTTGGTCAATTTCCTTCAGATTATCAGTAATGAAATTGATCAATATCTTGGCATCATTTATTGCCGACCGAGTACCCGTGAAAGCGAAAGGCACGCAATTCGGTACGGTTACCTCGTTAGCGGCTTGGACACGAATCCTAGCTAGTCCAACCCGATCCACTAAAGCTTGAATTTGATGATTTTTTTGTCCAACAATACGTCCCACGTACTGTTGAGGAACTTGCATAGCCTCCGTAGCGTACTCTAATAATTTTTTCGCGTTCTCAACCGCCTCTTTGGTCTACGCAGATGAAAATATCACAGTTAAATGACGTGCAACATTGCATTTCGTAACCTGCAAATCAACCTCCTCCAAAGACCAAATAACGCAAGCATAAACTAAATCAATCAAATACAAATGAAAAAGGCTTAAAAGTAAATCTTAAAATCAGTTACCTTTCCCGTGACTTTAAACGTGCAAGTATCAGGGTTGAGGATAACACTAACAATCCCATCTACCGATCGAGCTCGACGAATATTAGCTCCGCCCGCGCCAATGGAGTGACCAACAAGGTCTTTTTCAACAGAAAATTCAGCACAAACAAAATCATCGCTCTAAGTGCAAAAAAAACAAAACCAAATATTTCGATAGAACCCAGCCATGGAATTATAAAAGTAACGGCGTGTAGAAGAGAAATTGTGTCATGACATAAGTTTAGTCGATTAAAAACGTGAAACAAATATAACACGTAAAATACTATTTGCAGGAACAGCCTACCTTAACCGAATTTACTTCCTTGAGGCGACGCGAAAGTTCACTAATTTGATGGAGTATGCTGTGTTTCTGTCTCAGCATTCGAATCACATCATGGTTTATGGTTTCCGCCTTGAGTTTTGTCTCCATAGATGTGCAAACAACTAGAAACTTGGTCAATGACGCCTCAGATATGTTTGCATTAGAAAACTCTGGAGGAAGTTCCATGTCCTCGCTAATTTGGCAAAAGAGCATTGATTGCCCACAGGCACGAACGATGTGTTCAATGTTGGCCGGCTCTTTGAAGCTAAAAGAAAAATCGACCGTTATAAAAGTAAGTACATGCACACTTGCAAACAGTCAAATCCAGTAACAATGATCATACAAGAGCAAAGAAATATAAAGCGAGAGACACAGCTGAAGCAGCATTTCCAGAGTTAGAGCAGAAAACCTACAGTCCAACTAACTCCTGAGGGACATTAAAAATGTGATACAAGAAGTCCGACTCTGAAAGCAGCTTCTCCGAGTTTTTATGTCTAACTTGGTTAATTTCAACCCCATTTTCGAGGCGAGGTTTGGGAAATTTCGTGTACGCATCTGGAACTCCCTCGCAGGTAATAAATTCGACAATAGCAAAGTCCCCACGTCTTTTAGTAATCCGAGCAGGCCACCAGGAGGGTGGAAGAGCGTCAGTAGCGTCATTTGCGGCCGACTTCCCAGCCAACACCTCAACAAGATCGCCGACAGAGACATCGGACTCCTTCGTCCCATTTACGATATATTTAGGTGGTTTCCGCAAACGGGTCGGCAACACCGTGATCTCGGCAGGAAATCCAGGAAATTCCTCCGCAAATCGAAAAACGAAGCTATCAGGTGCTTTATAATCGACTAGATAGCCCTAGATCGAGAAATCGTATGAGACGATAGACTCAGCTTACCGGATAGGCTTCCCCAAAGCTCCCCACTAATTCGACAGGTATTGTACAGTTCATACTTACGAAAAAGTCAAAATAACGTGACGACTCGCAAAATCTAAACAGGTAAGACACAAATTAGGTCTACTTAAACAAAATAAAAAACTTTTTAAACAAAACACACAAAAAAAGATAATAAGCATATAAATTATTAGATTCGCAAAACATGGAGGATAAATAATACACAATCTTAGTTAATACTCTGAGTTTGAGTGCATGTAGAAGTCCATGGTGTGTTGCAGCTGGGCCCTCCCCCATTCTTATTATCATACCATTGCTTTTAACAATTTCAGCTGTCATCTAAAGGGTATTGACAGTCCAAAATATCATAACGCATAGTGTAGCACCCTTTTGCTAACAAATCTGGCTTAGGCGGATCTGAAGAAAACGAATTTATTGTGCACCAAAATATTCATGTTTCGTTTTACTTCACTTCCTTCCTATGAGAAGGTCACTTGTGGTTATCCTTCTATCGTTTTCAACCGATGGTCTGCCCGTGTATTTTCTTGAATCTTTTTTAGGTGGAGTTTAACCCTTCATTTCAGTTCGATGCTCTGGTATTTTTACTTTTACTTATTCTCGTTAGGATATTCAGTCGCCGTCAGTCGTTTTAACTCAAACAGGAGCAAATTTGTCACCAAGTAATTTTGAGGTTGAAAAATTGATTGATGAATTTCGAACCAATAATGCTAGCGAGCTTCTGGATTTTCCAAGTGAAGAATGTGACGTCGCAAAATCTGTTTGTCACGTTGAATGCAAGAATTTGGGTAACTTTGTTTATTTATCTATGGAATAGCTCCTCAACGTACCAAATGTAAAGGTAAAGGAAGCAACGCCAATACTTTAACTGATATTGAGCCCGAGGAGCAATATGAATTCGCTCAATCTGTAACAAAGTATACTGAAGTTGAGTCTTTTCTCTCCTTTAAACTTTCTAAACCGCTTTTAAAATCAATTACGGAGATGAAGATCTTCAAACCAACTCCTATACAGTGTGCCTGCATCCCCGTGGGGTTACTTAATCGTGACATTTGTGCCTGTGCAAGCACGGGTTCTGGGAAGACATTGGCTTTCTTAATTCCTATCATTGAGAGAATGGTATTTGCGCCGTTCTCATGTCGTAGCTCGACAAGAGCCCTCATTATCAGCCCGACTCGTGAACTAGCTGTTCAAATTTTTAAAGTGGCTGAACATTTAGTCAAACACTGTCCACGACTCAAAATTCAGCTGGCTGCGGGTGGACTTGATTTATCCTCGCAGGAAGCCAATTTGCGTAAGAATCCTGATATTGTTGTGGCGACTCCAGGTCGGCTGATCGACCACCTCTCGAATGCACCGAGTTTCACGCTTAGTGGAGTTGAATATCTGGTCTTGGATGAGGCTGATAAGTAAGTTCTAGGTATGAGTACTGTTACTTTAGACTTCTTGATGAGTATTTCACTGAACAAATCAAAGAAATTGTCCAGCATTGTGGCTCCCACCGACAAACTCTGCTTTTTTCAGCGACGATGACTGAAACGGTTGCTTTTACTTATCCAGTTGCACCATAGTCGAAGTTTTTTATTCTTAATTTGCCCGATTGTGCATGCAGATGTGGTTCCTCTGCTGGCATTTCCGTGCTTTATTTTGGTAGGTGCGAGAATTGGCGACAGTGTCGCTGAAGAATCCTGTGCGTATCTTTCTTAGCCAAGCGACAACGGTAGCTGATCGACTAGCTCAGGAATTTGTGCGTATTCGTTCTCACCGTGAGGGTGATAGGGATGCCATTTTGGCGGCGTTGTTGGTGCGCTCCTTTCCATATCGCACCATTGTTTTCCTACCTACCAAAAAGGACTGTCACCGCATCCATATCCTCCTTGGATTAATGGGTGTCAAGTGTGCTGAGCTGCATGGAGATATGAACCAGGCACAGCGCTTGGAGGCTCTCCGTCGTTTTACCGATGCTGAAGTTCTGAAATCGGAGGCCATTGAAAAGGCAGGCATGGAACCTTCTGGCGTTCAGGGCTGCTCTGTGCCCCCCCCTGCCGATGTTCTTTTAGCCAGTGATTTGGCTGCTCGCGGTTTGGATATTCCAAGCGTTCAGACCGTAAGGGCTTGTTTTTCTTGCTAGTGCATTATGCGAATTGGTTTTGTGTTCAAAATCTTCCGTTAGTTCTTTGACTCAATGATCGTGCTTTCAAATACCGACACTCATCTCTGTCGTTTTTCTTTGTGGTTGCAAGAAATTTTCAAATCCACACAAGTGTGGCTTTATTACCAATCTTTATCCATATACTGGGGAGTTTTGTGACATTTCTGATTTTCTCAGTCATTCACAAACAAGACTTGTACCTTGTTTACGTTTCTGCCAAACTTATTGTAATCCGGCTTTTTTGAAAACTGCTTCTCCGTATTATTTAATAAGGTTATAAACTACAAACTTCCGAAAACCATCAAATCATACGTTCATCGCGTTGGTCGAACTGCTCGTGCTTCCAAATCGGGTAGGTGAGTAACCTTTCCCATTATCAATGACATTGGCAGCATGCACCGCCTAAACTGTTGTTGACGCGCTACTTTAGCGGCAGTAGTAACATGTTTAACCGATAAGCTATTCCGCCTCGGCCCCTTTCGCTTTGTGGAGAACCACTAGATAACGGTGATCACTCATATGCTAAGGGCCTATTTTTCGTGTATGCCTTAGCAACCCAACCGCATTTTACAAAGTTCTCACACCAGCAAGTCGGCGGTTTTTTTGAGATTGTGTTTTGTCTGTTCACTGGACATGGATTTTCCTCAGTTTCTAGTGCCCCACATGGATGTGGCTAGTCCATTCATTAACTTTAGGCTACACTGTTCACAAGTACTGCTACTTGACTAGTTCCGTTTCCTTTTTTTCTGGTAATAATGTTCGAAAGCAAAAGCTTATACTACCGAGGCAGGCCATATAATTAGCTGGATCTAAGTCCTCGTTGCGCTTATGCAATACTGGAAGCTATTGGGCAACACTTACACCATTCCCTTTAGAGCTGTGTCTTTGGCCGGAGAATCGGACAGAAAGTTACTTAAAGCCATAGTCAGGAACGCTCCTTGCCCTGTCAAAGTGCGTGTCGTACCGCAAGGTAAGTGATGGAGGATTGCATGCGTGGGCTTGGATTTCAACTCCACATGATCTGCTTCTCGATATTTTGTAGCTTCAACGCCAAAAATTGTCTTGCATGCTTAGGTGACTGTTGATTTTTGTATTTCTCCTGATTTTATGCAAAAAGACCGCCTGCAATTTTGAAAATATTCGTGCATGGTTAAGTACATGTTAATTTGAAAATGTCTGCTTGCTTTACTTGTATTCTTATAGGTTAATTGGGGTAAAGTAGGAGCTGGATTCCTTCATTGTGATTCATCTAATAATCCTTGAGTTGAATCCATTTAGGATTCTGAGCCCAAATTTTCAAAGTTGCTATCGAACGTTCTGCTATCTCCCAGTGTATTGTTCCAAAGATCGATTTACAAGACTTTTTTGGGACATCGGAGATCAAATCTCTGCACATTTTGTTGGAAACGCGCGGACATACTGTTCTGTTTTTGTTTACTTTTTCACCTACGCTCAGCAGAATCTTAGACGCTGACCTATCTTTCCTCAGTACGTTCTCGTTAGGCATGCGTAAATCTCTATCCCATTGATGATGCTGCTCATTTTGGGGAGTAATCTGTTAGCATCTTAGCGTAAGTTACCTACCTATTTGTCCAGATCTCTACTAAATGAAGGAAGGAGCGATAGAAGCTGCAGCACAAATTGATTCAGGGGATGATAATGTGGTTTATTATAATTCTCCTCGTCTCTTTTCCATTCGATGATAAATTCTTCCCTGACAATGTGCAAGCAGATGCAAAAGAGAGTATGGAGCGAAGGCCACCGGACCTGGGTCTTTTGGCTTCCAGTTATGAAGAGTTCTGCCAACGTGAAACATACACTAGATTTACGTATTGCTAGAGGAGAACTAGAGTGGGCACAAATCGTACAGATGATTATTACACCGAATGAGATATTGCAAATGGTCTTCTTAACGAAGGCAGGGGATTCGCGAAAGCCTCTTCCTATCTTGTACAATATAGATAGTATTTTATCATAGCACGTGAACTGTAGTGCACGTAGATTCCAACATCCTTATCTTGATATTACGTTAAAGTGGCTCGCGATGTGAAGAGGAAACAGATGGATGCGATTATTGATTGTTATGAGTCTCTCCGTTTTCACATTATTGCGTTATCCGTTGCCATCGTTCTCTTCCTCTACGAGTAGGTAAACCGCATATTTGTGGCTCCGCACTCCGCTCACATCAGTTTCCCTCGTTTGGTTCAGCAGTGTTCGCATCGTTGATGTGCTACAAACCAACGTCTAACACTTCATTTCCTGTTGTCAGATGTGAGGATTTCTTTTTTAAGCACTTTAAGCCTTACAGTACCGGATTATTTCATATTTTGGGACTTAATCAGACACAGCTTGAGAGATTGGAGATACAGAATACTCAGCAATTCCTCTGGTTCCTAATTAATTTGGCGTTAACAGCTGGGTTTCAGAGGACTTAAAGCTCTTGTTAAGACATGGATTTTTGTGCAACTTTGCAGAAGTTATCGCCCATTTTCAAGCTCGCATAGACAAAGTTAAGCCGTTCATGAAAGAGATTTTGGCCATGGAGTTGGAGGAGCGCGAACTGAATGCAGCACAGGCACAGCTAACGAAGGCAGAGAACCTGGTGCTGCGGGGCGATGCGAATAGTTCCGCTGCCGGACCGAAAAGGATCAACTGGTTCTCGGAGAGGCGCACTGCGAAAAGATCAAGTAAGTCTTGGGCCTCTATTGACTATCGATTCACTATATCAATCGTTCCTAAAGCCCCGTCCCATTTCACTTGGGAACCTCTCACTTGCTTAGTGCATTCATACGGAAAACGTGAAAACTTGCAAAGTTTTTGTGCACTCCATTCTCTTCTTATTTTAGCAAAGAGATCCAAGAGAAGCAATGAAGTGGGTCACAGGAAACTGCATCGTAATGAATGATGCCTCACTGCAACTAATGACCTTTTCCTCTGTATACCCGATTGTCTCGAGTACAAAAAAATCCTTGAAGTGAAACGTGGTTTCTTACATCATAGAATACCGATAGAACCATTGCTGTCTGGTTGCCTCATTCCCAACCACATAAAGGTAACTATACAGGTCCGGTCTCATGCGACCTAAGCATTTCGGTTGGCAAACGTCAAAAATAATTCAGCTGACTTTTGGAAAACAAAGCAGTGATCTTTAAAAAAATTAATCTTTCTCATAGAGGTCGAGTAAATCCGCTTACAAGTGTTTGAGGCACGTGCCTTGGGCCTAGGGCCAGCGGAATTCTGCACTTTCGAACAACTCTCTTGGAAGTTCGTGACGCTCGTAGAAACTGGCTTGAGTGCCGTGTCGCAGGACTGACTGACTAGCTATCCAGACGGATCGACGCAGCTTTTCCACGATCGTGATTTCGGGGTATCGGGCCATGTAGAAGGCTAGAGATCCAGCAAAGCAATCGCCAGCCCCAGTGGTGTCGACGACCTTTGTATAAATTGGGCAGCGAATATGGAAGATGGCATTGTCACCGGTTATCAAGTCTGACTTCAGCATAGTTACGTCGTTCGCCCGAGTAGCTTCGCCCTCACATCTAGGTAGCAGACCGACTACTCCATTAACACCGAGAGTGACCAAAGGGTAGGTTACGCCGGCCTCTCGTAGATGTAAGAGCCACTCCAAAGCAGACTCAGCAATCTGAATGGGTTCTTTTCCCGCAAAATCAGGGACAGGGATGCCTGTAAGTACTGCCGCCTCAGTTTCGTTAGGACAAACCATCGTCGACGCTTCCATGAAGCGTTTCAGCAATGGAAGGAAGGGCGAGCCGGGATTCGGTGCGGGAGCAGGATCAAGTATCGTGATGACCCCATGCTCTTTTGCTTTCTCTAGTGCATAGAGCGTTGCCTCGGCATTCGACTTGAAATTTTAAGGCGGTAATGCTGCTATCATGGTAATTCTTAGTGGTGTTTATCGTTTAGACAAACTCACCTCAAACTGACATTCCATCACTTTTTCGCCGATAAGACCCTTCTTATGTGCCTCCTCAATGTCATTAATGGAAATCTCTTCGTTAGCTCCAGGAATTATCACAATGGTGTTATTCCCATGATTTTGTTCCACAGTAATCACTGCGACGCCACTATCAGCGGTATGGCTTACTCTTATGGTGCCTTAAAATGTTAATTTCTTATCAGTAGTACTGCTAGTAAAATTATTAACTCAATAGACGACGTGAAGTATTTATACAAACTGTGTAAAGGGACGTGCTCACCCGTCTCCACACCGATCGTTTTCAGATACTCGATATAGTCTTTCCCAAAGTAATCATCGCCGACCTTTACTAATGCATGAAAGGAGGCAATTTGCCACATACCCGTGAGATGAGAGAGGCCTTAGCACCGAGCTTTCTTGCTGCAACACACTGGTTGGCTCCCTTACCCCCGAATCCCGTAGCGAACTTTGCTCCAACTATGGTTTCACCAGGGAGGGGAAATTTGTCTGTGTAGCTGTAAAAAAGACTGACAGTGCTTTAAACCAAACTTACCACATAAGGTCTGTGTTAATGGATCCAACAACTGTAACTTCCATGACGGAAATTCCGTTCAGGCGCACTTAACAGCGATGTACTCCATAAGACTAGATCAGGCTAAATTGCGAAGGTCCAGTGTCCAATGGTCTGTCAGATCTATTCAAGGAAGTGATGTAGCAAAAGATTTGAGCATTGGGCAAAAGTTACACGCGTCGAAAACGATTTTTATTTTAATGAGCTGACTAAACAGCTATGATCAACTTACAAAAAAATAAGCTTAGTAAAAGCCACATTTGAAATTGATAACAAAACCTAAACGAAAAATAATAAAGACATAAAACGTTGTTAAACGGGTGTTGGAGCCGTAATACTTTGTTGATGTGACTGTCTGGTGTCTGACGGGTGCTTTGGTATTTGTCAGGGGCTTCAACTCACGAGCTAGTCTTTGGGCCAAGCTCAAGCTTGAACTTGTTGCTCTCCCTAAAATACATATATTCAGGTCCACTTAATGCCTTCTACCCGATAGGAGGTCTTGAGACGCTACAGTGGTGGCAGTGGAAGGCGAATTTTGAGCTTTTTTGTGACTTCGATCGTAGAGCTTAACAATTGTGACACCGGTTAGAAGAAGTTGTTCTACACCAGTGAGCTGATTTCCTTACTCAGATATCCTCGTAACTGGTCGTCAATGTGATGTGTACTGTTGCTTTATTTGACCTTTATAGGGGAGAAGCGAGAACCAAAAAAATGGAACCCGAATCCCGTGCGTGAGTGCCGGGATGAATCCGTCTCCAGGTGATGTCTTCTGTTCGGCTCATCCGTATTCCTATCTCCATTCTTCCTATAATTAATGCTTATTAAGCCTACTGCCACTAGCCCTTTCTTGAAGTCTGTAAATTCAAGACCATGAAGATAGGCGGGCAGTTCCTACAGTCAACTTGGTAGTAGTTTGTGCTTCTTCCTCCGACTTCCTCATCACCACAAGGCGATACGTAGGATCAAATACCTCTATTTAGAATATCAGAAGAAAAGCGGTCATTTGTTTGTATAAACATTGTGCTGCAGACTTACTTTCGCAGATGAATCAAAAATTAAGCTCTGTCTAAGCCTCGACATACACTATCTGTGTCAACAAATGTATTATATGTAGTCCTGCGCCAACTATTTTAAAGACGGATGTAACAGATCTACACAACTTCAGCAGAAAATTCAAAATATTAATAAGTTGGTTCTACTGTAATTTACTTCCGTGCTGAATTCCACACCAAATGCTGCACAAAACCGATCTACTCTAAACTTCAGAAAAGGCTGAGTCGCTACACGGTTTCCGCCCTGTACGTATTTTCATGCATAGTTAGGTTTGTAGTAATTATTCCCAGTCACTGCCATTTACATGGAAAGTCGAATTGACCTAGTATTGCATAGCCTCTTGCAGCGTCCCGAGACCTCCCACAGGGTAAAAGAGGCAGTAGGTGAAGCTGGATATATGTATTCCAAAGAGGACAAAGCAACTGGACCCGAGCGTGGCCTGAAGGCCAGCCCACAAGTACAAAGTCCAGACAAATCCTAAAGTGACCGCTGAACGGCAGGTAGCCACATAAACAAAGCATTACACTTCTCCTCATAAGCGAAGTCTCTCGTGCTCTCCTACAGACACCTCTCGCTCTAGCCACCACACCATGTTCCGTGCGCTAGTTGTTCCCTCCTCTATGGCTGAAGATATGTGTTTAAACACCCTAGCAGCTTCAACAGGGGCTGCAGTTACATTTGACCTGAATACAGGATTCACAGGCAGGAAGTTCTATTGTCCACCCATTGTGTCCAGAACCAGACTCAGAGACGAGCTTGATATGCAGCTCAAGTGGCCCTTGATGTCGGCCCTTAACTCGACCAAAGCAGTCAGTAACTGGTTACAG